AAATATGCATATATATATATATATATATAAACAGAGAAAATGCAAAATTACATAGTTTCTAATTTACTTTTCTCTTCCTTTGTTCAGTGTCGCCATCCCGTTTTTGTTCTTCTTCCCTCGCGTCCATACCGTCCCGTTACTCATCCTATCATTCAATCCCGTCCCATTATCTTATTATATCATATTATGTCATATTATTATCCCATCTTATTATGCCACATTATCTTCTTATCTTATCATCTCATCAAAGCAGGCAAGCATGCAGGCAAACGAAAAACCACAAGGTCCATAGAAAATGCAACTAGCCATCAAATACGAGCGAGGACCTCGACCAAGAAAAACCAAGCAAGAGTAGACTGAGCATTCCATGATAGAAATTTACATGCATGCAAGCAAAACCCCAATGCGCGCAATGATAGACAGATAAGCAGATGCAAAGGCGAAAAATCATCTTACTACACGAGTGGTTGCTTTTGGTTTTCCCGGTCCTGTCCCACACCGAGCACAATTAGCCATTCATCTCATCTCAACCCACTGCATTCCACCACTTGACCGGACTCCTCGTGCATCGCCGCCCCCACCGAGGATTAATATTCATATATCGGAAGTTGCCTGGGGCCACCACCCCAATCATCCACATTCATCCATCCAAGTCGGGCTTAGTTGCCATTCGTGAGGAGTGACTCGGCAGGGCTCGAAGGACTGGTGGATTTCTTCGCCCTCAGGGTGAGAGGGAATGGGTACTCATCGGGGTCTTCCTCCTCACTTTGCAGCAGTTAGCAACGCAAATCCGTCCATTCAGATACAAAAACTTACGGCAACTTCCACGCAACATAATCCTCCGTGCTCAGACCCTCTCTGCCTTCCTGCAGACTGGCAAAATCACCCGGCGTCATCATCCCACTTCTATCCCTCGGCGATCCAGGAACACTAAATGGCCGGGAGATCTTCTGCTCAATACCCGGGATGCAGTCGTCCTTGTCCTCGCTGCTGAAGGAGGAGGGGTATGCTCTGCGGAGGGCCAGCTGTCTTGCTTTCACGTACTCCATGCCCATTCGCTTCCAGTCCAGCAGATCGCTCAGACGCTCGGTTCGGTTGCGCTGGTTGATACGTTGACGACGAGACTTTTCCGCAAAGTCAAACATGTAGGACGCAAGCTGGTTGACTGAGTCATCCACACCCTTATTGCGGCGGTCGACAATGTAGATTCCGTAGTCCGTCGAGTTCTCAATCAGCTCCTCCATGTAGCATCCGAATCCCGAGAGGTTCGTGGTGATACTAGGGACACCCATGACGGTGCACTCTGCCGGGGTGTATCCCCACGGCTCGTAGTAAGAGGGGAAGACGCCCATATGAGTCCCTCGGACAAACTCGTCGTAATCCATTGGCAGAACGGGATTGGCCGAGTTCAGGAATTCAGGGTGGAACACGATCTTCACCCGGTCATCTTCTTGGTTGAAGAGCTGGACTCGGCGAATCTGGTTCAGAATCGGATCGTCGCCGTCATTGGCCATGTTGTGGGTTACGATCGGGGGCAGCCCCTCCCTCTTCATGGCGAACAACCGTCTGCGGAGGAGGATGCGGTCCTGGCTGGTGATCAAATCCTTGTCATCGGGCATAGGGTCGCCATCGTGCCACTTGAGAGCGCGCTCAAAGATCCGCCTTCCCACGCTACGCTCAATAGTGTCAACCGTGTCTCGCAATGATTTGATCACCGCCTGCCCCTTCAAGGCCTCCACCGTTAGGGATTGGGTTTGCGCCGGCATGATAATGAATGCGACCACGGTCATCTTCGAGCCGGAGGCCTTCAGTCGTTGATTCAGGCGTGTCAACGACTCTATGAACATGTCGACACCCTTGTTTCGGTACTCGTAGCGACCGGCCGTGAAGAAGTACAGGGTGTTTTCCGGGTCAAAGTCATTGTGCCCGTAGAAGTGGCCGCGGACGAAATCGTGAATCTTCTCCTTGGCCTGCTGATGCAAATTCTGGAACTCGTGCATGGCAGAGAATTTGGTGACATTGAGACCGTTGGGAAGCACACCATCGGGCTTGCGCTTGAGGAGATGTTCGGATTCAAACGCCGTGATGTGAGACACGGTCGTGAAGACATCGCAGGCATGTGTCGCGGCGCGCTCAATGCAGTAGCGGTGGTAGATACCACGCTTTCCCGCCTCATGATCCACATCAAAATATTGTAGGTTGTTGTAGAAATCAACCGAGCCAGCGCACAGGTATCGACCGAGAAGGGTCGCGTGGGTCGTGAAGATGGTCGTGACATCGATTTGTCGCTTCTTGCAGAGGGGAAGAGCTACGCCTGCCAACCACTCGTGGAAATGTGCAATGACGGCTTTATCCTTCTCGTGTGCAACGAACTATAGCTGTTAGCTGGTGAGTCCGCATCGTAGAGAAGTTTCGCCTGACCTCTCCTAAGAACCATGCGACCAGGTAGCCAAAGACTACCGCCTCGTTGGTCTCATCATCGCCCGGAGGAGATGGGATCCCGGCCGTGTGCCACAAGTCCGCCTTCCACTCGTCCAGAAAGCGGTATCCCGTCTTAGTATCGATCAGAACGACTCTGGGGGCTCCCTCGATCAACCAGCGTCCGTATACGATGCCGATTCCTCGCGATTCCATAGCCGCGATAGTGGCGGCCAGCTGGGGGTTCGTTGGAGTAAGGGCTTCCACCTCAACGGCGGCCTGTGGTTGTTAGTAGGCATCTGGATCTGTGCATGAGTCTTCCAACTCACAGATTGCCTGTGGAGAGGCCCAATGAGGCAGTATCGGTCGCCATACTCGGCGGTGGTGACGGGGGCCTTGGACTTGATGACGGAGTAAATGCCACCCACTGCCTGCGGTTAGTGACTGACCGACCCATGATCGCCTCTCCACGGAGTTTTGGGGGGGAGGGGGGGGGGGGGTAGGTAGGTGATAGGTACCTCGGTTGGCGACCTCAGTGGCTACCTCGAAGAGATAGTGGCCCCGGATGTCCCGTTTTGTTTCGGTATCGATTTCGCGCCGCATAGTGTTGTAGTGGTAGTGGAATTGCTTGCGGCGCTCTCAGCTGGTTTTGGTGATGGGGAGCGAGCAGGAGGAGGAGGAAGAAGAAGAAAAAGAAGAAGAAATAGAAAAAGAACAAGAAGAAGAAGAAGAAGAAGAAGAAGAGAAGAAGAAGAAAATCAGTGCAGTAATGTCGCGATTGGAAAAGACGTAGTGCGCGAGGGGTGGTAATCCGGGAAGGAGCAGCTCTTGCTTGCAGATTCGGATTCCCGAGGATTGATTAAGTGAGTGAGGGGTATATGTTTGTAATGTTTGCCTTATACGTCCATCCGGTCTGAGGTCGGTCAGTTACTTATTTACTCACTTGCTCACGACCTACTGTCGTAGCAGTTTCTTTCGTGGCATAGCAACGGAGGGGAACTTACATGACTTAACTGACGTCAATAGGCTCAGCAGTAGTTCTTGTATGCTTTGTCCAACGAACCGAAGGATTTGAACAATCAATCGATCAATCAATCAGTTGATCAGGCACGCAAGCAAGCAAGTATTCCGAATCAATTGCCTGCGGTTTTGCGGAGAGGAAGAGAGAGAGAAAGAGGGAGAGAGGGAGATGGGACGAGAAGTGAGTGAGCTTCGGCGCTTATGCGCTTCTGCGCTTCTGCGCTTCTACGTACCACTGAGTTCTGGCAGCTCTTTCTCTGCCGGAAGGTTGGCCCTGGGCTGGGAGGGGCTGGGGTGGGGGCTAGTTGGGGTCTGGGGTCGGGATGGTCCAGCTTGGCATTGCTAACTCATATATGATTGGCTGAGATTGATGCGGGGATCCCGAATATAGTAGAGCTAGTACAGGACTCTCCTTGTCAAGATGACCTCACCTTACCTTTGCGCGGGCCACGACCGGGCCTATTCTGTAAAGAGTTCTGTCCGTACAGTGTGTTGCGGGGCTTATTCTACCTTACCGCTATTTATCACATGACATGACCCGGCACGACCCCACCTCCATCTCCATCTCCATCTTCACCTCCATCTCCGTCTCCATTTCAATCTCCGGATTGCACTTCTCACTCTAGATTCAGATGGAGATGGGGATGCCGGTGCAGATATGCAGGGCTATCCGTCTGGCCCGCCAGTTGCCGCCGCACTTCGTTCGAAACCTGCCGGCCACCCCGCCCTCGTACGGCTGATTCCGCCCGGAAGAGAAACTACAACAGAAACTGCTCACGACGGCGACGTCGACGATCGATAGCCTAGAGATTTTTCCCGCGCCGCTTGGCTTTCGGTGGCGGGTGTGGCCTGTGGTCATTGATTGGTGGCGCGGGTGATAAACGACGGGTGATCAACGGTGGGTACATCGTGGAAAGTCACGAGAGTGTCACGAAAATGTCACGAGAGAGGGCACGAACAGGAAGTCTGACTCGAGTTATGTGATGCGCTGCTCTGCTCTGCTCTGCTCTACTGTTGTGTATTCTGCGGCTGATTTTAAGGCATTAAATAGGTAATTCTGCTTGCTTTTGATCATTTGGTCACGTTGCTTGACGATCGATGCGTGGATACGATTAAATGAATGTATGAACTACTCTAGATTATCAGCCAAAGGCATCCATCCATCCTACTCTCTTCACTCGGACCGCAACGCCCTCGAGATCATCGTCCCCCACGATTCCCCCTTTCTCTGCTCGACGCCAGCGTCAGTCTCAGTCTCAGTCGCTATCCCGAAATCCTTCTCCTCCTTCACAGCCCATCTTTCCTGCTCTTGAATCTGCTGCAGCAGCGAGCCGTACCACTCGGCACTACCCACCTTCTCAACAGCTTCCATCTCCACGGAGAGAAAATCCAAGCACGTATTGCACCCGCACCACTTGGTCGCATCGTGTATCCCCCTTGCCCCCGGGACAGAGCTCCGATCCAACTCGCACCAATGACACCAGCAACTCCGCCTCGGGGCATGCCGTCTGAGATCCATCGCCGTGGCGCCTCGCAGGGCATCGTGGTCTTCAAACTCCCACTCGGGATCAGCGACGAGGGCTTCAACATCCAGTGAAGCGAAGATCTCGACGCATGCGGAGGTATTCTCAAAATCCATCACCACATTCGCCAAATCCCGCGCGATACTTTTCCGTCCGTCCCTCGCCCACGGGTTCAGGCTACTCTCCACACTCATCTTCCTCTCCACATTCGCCGGCGTCCCCGGCCGCGAATTTGAGTACTCACTCTCACTATCTCTCTCAAGCATCCTAAGCCTCGATTTCAAGCCCATCCCCAAGCGCAAGGGCATCGGTCTCAAGTTCTCCTCCTCCTCGTCAGAATCATCCTCCCCCCAATTCCTATCCCAGACATTCCCCTCGCTCTCCCCCACGAACGAAGGACTCATCCAACCACTCGTCTCGCTCCTCGTCGTCCTCGGCGTCCAGTCCACCTCGTCAAAGACCAGCGCAGGGTCGTACAAGGAGTCGTACGCGAGGAACGGCTCTGCGCGGCATCGGAAATCGACCCCTTCCCCCCTCTCTTCGTTCCTAGAACCAGAATCAGAACCCTTATCATAATTAGAATCAGAATCAGAATCAGAATTGAAATCAGGAATCGAGCACACTTTCACCAGCGCCTCGTACGAGCAATGCCTCCTACCCAGCGACTGCACCACCGTCGGCCGCTTCGGCGGCGACGGCGGTGCAGCAAGCTTTATCTTGCGGATCGCGAGGGGCAGTGGGATCAGCAGGGATAAAGACTGCATTCGAATCTTCTCTTCGCTCGAGCAGAGGGACGATGTTCGGGACTGCTGGGAGTTAGCGTCTGGCTCTGATGGGGCTGGCTTGCTCGTCGGGGAGGCGAGGACGCGTAGCTTGAACGCAGCGAGCGTGGCTGTGAGGGAGTCGAGCGCTATCTGGTGGTCGGTCTGGGGCCATGGGGCAGTGGAGGCGGTGGTGATGGTGATGGTGGTGGGCGAATGTGGCACGACCGGCGTGCGATAGGTTTGGATTTGGGTTGGCGATGGGGATAGAGATAGAGATAGAGACATCTTGGATTCTCTTCCCTGCTTGTACTGTTCTTCGGTTTCGTTTCGTGTCTTTTTCTTTTCTTTAGCTGATATAGTAAGTTTCTCGATGCAATACTTAGAAAAGCTTCTTTTTCTTCTTCCTCTTCCTCTTCTCCTGATGATGATGTTTGTGTATACTTCAAAAGATTGAGATAGAGGGTTATTGTTCGTGCGCAAGATGGGGGTTGGAGTTCTGACGTCTTATATCCTTTTTTTTTTCCCGACCGGATGAGGGATTGTTTCTTCTTTCTTTGTTTCATTCAGTAATTCACTCGCTTTTTCTTTCATTTCTTTGTTTCTCTATGTTAAAAGAGAGAGAGATGCAAAGAGAGGGGGGGAGGGGAGAGGGAGAGAGGGGGAGGAGAAAGAAAGAAAGAAAGAAAGAAAGAAAGAAAGAAAGAAAGAAAGAAAGAAAGAAAGAAAGAAAGAAAGA